ATCCAGCAGCTTGTCTGTCTACACTGTTACTGCATCATTTTATCTGAGAATTCAAGACCGAAGCCAGCAAATTGTCTGTCTACACTGTTACTGCATCATTTAATCAGAGAATTCAGACCAAATCTAGCAGCTTGTTTGTCTACTCAGTTACTGCATCATTTTATCTGAGAATTCAGACCAAATCCAGCAGCTTGTTTGTCTACTCAGTTACTGCATCATTTTATCTGAGAATTCAGACCAAATCCAGCAGCTTGTCTGTCTACACTGTTACTGCATCATTTTATCTGAGAATTCAGACCGAAGCCAGCAAATTGTCTGTCTACACTGTTACTGCATCATTTTATCCAGCCAGGAGCCATGCTGTTACTGTATCATCTATTCAGCAGCTACTCTACTCTGTTGTCTCATTTTGTCTGAGTAGCCAATTGGTGTCTCATTAAGTGCATCTTCATTCAGGTAAATCAACTCATACATGTAGCTTATTGTATACTCCAATTGAAGACTGTTGTTAATTATTACCACGACTCTGATTGTCATATTTGGGCATTCCAACCATATTTGGGCATTCCAACCATATTTGGGCATTCTAACTAAGCTTTCACATCATTCACAAGACATCAATAATCAAGTTGCTAAATCTTTATAAATAGATGAAGATTATCCTGACACTGATGAGGAGGAGGATGTTGTTGGCTGTAACCATGGCAATGGGGAAATGATGGTAGACAAAGGGGAGGATTATTGTGGATTTAGTCAACCCTCTCAAGCTCTGAAGTTCTTTCAAGAGCTAAATAATGAGTTTCACAGCAAGGTGCAAAATTTATCACATGTTAGTATCAACCCAACTACCACAAAGTATATGGATAAACGTTCCTTATCTAGTAGCTCTGCTGATATGGCTTTGAATGACAAAGACATAAACAATTGTTTTTTAAAGTGCAGAATATTTGAGACTTTGCATGAACAGATGAACTTAACAGACAATGCTGAAGCAGCATTGCAGAGTGTTGATGAATTCAAGATTGTTAAACCAATAAAGAAAGAAACCATCAAGAAAAGAAGATCTCGGTATTGGCTGAAAGATGAAGGATTGGAACCAATTTATCCTTTTCCATACTTTCCGTATCAAAGATTCACTAACAACTTGTGGAATTGTGAAAAGAAGAATGGCAAAGATGAGGAGAATGTTTTACAGAAGGCATCACAACTATGGCCAAGAATAAAAGACTTGAAATTAGAAAATGAATGCGAATCTTTTGACAGTGTTGAAAGTTGTGAACAATTTATTGTGGATAGATCTATTAAACGAGAACCAATGTCTCACAATGATAAGCATGACTTAGTGACAGAACCTGTGTATAATGATGATGGACTTGAGTTAGTGACGGATCATGCAGGTCATGTTGAAAAACTTGAGGTAGGGATTGATCCTATCGGTCATGATAATGGACTTGATGCAGTGACAGATCCTACACTTCATGATGATGGACTTGAGATAGTGACAGATCTTGTGGGTCATGATGATGGTCTTGAGGTAGTGACAGATCCTATGGTTCATGATGATGGACATAAGTTAGTGACACATTCTGTGGGTCATGACGATGGACTTGAGTTAGTGACACATTCTGTGGGTCATGATGATGGACTTGAGTTAGTGACAGATCCTGTGGGTCATGATGATGAACATGAATTAGTGACAGATCCTGTGGTCCATGATGATGGACTTGAGGTAGTGACAGATCCTATGGTTCATGATGATGGACTTGAGGTAGTGACAGATCCTGTGAGTCATGATGATGAACATGAGGTAGTGACAGATCCTGTGGGTCATGATGTTGGACTTGAGTTAGTGACACATTCTGTTGGTCATGATGATGGACATGAGTTAGTGACAGATCTTGTGGGTCATGATGATGGACATGAGTTAGTGACAGGTCCTGTGGGTCATGATGATGGACATGAGTTAGTGACACATTCTGTGGGTCATGATGATGGACTTGAGTTAGTGACAGGTCCTGTGGGTCATTTTGATGGACATGAGTTAGTGACAGATCTTGTGGGTCATGATGATGGACATGAGTTAGTGACAGATCCTGTGGGTCATGATGATGGACTTGAGTTAATGACAGATCTTGTGGGTCATGATGATGGACATGAGTTAGTGACAGATCTTGTGGGTCATGATGATGGACATGAGTTAGTGACAGATCCTGTGGGTCATGATGATGGACTTGAGTTAGTGACAGATCCTGTGGGTCATGATGATGGACATGTTTAGTGACAGATCTTGTGGGTCATGATGATGGACTTGAGTTAATGACAGATCTGTGGGTCATGATGATGGACATGATTTGGTGACAGATCCTGTG